TTAATTCAAAACCTTCTGTAAACTAATCATATACGTGTGTGCGTGTAATACACACACGTGTGCGCTCACACACACACACACACACACATGAACACATATTCAATGGCTTCCTTTTTATTTTCTTTGTGCCTTTGCACTCCAAATCTGACACATTTTCATTTATGTTTGCAGATATCTGGTTTGAAGCCCCTATTTATTTTCACAAGATATAGCACAGACACAAGATGATCCAAGGGTTGTGGAGTGATGATGTGTCTAGTTAACAGAAATTACATATGGCTAACTTGTTGCTGAGATATTCTGAAATAATGACTCATAAAACCAGCAAATTATCTGTATCTCTGTATCAGAACCTCAATATAGCACTAGATACAGTTTTTATCACAACATTTACTAGAATAGGTCCAGAAAAGAACTGCAAAAACATTTATTAAAGTATACATGGACAAATACCTAGAAGCTGAGTGTGTAGAGCGGAGAAGTTAAGAGTGATTTGGCTCTGGCCTGGAAGGGACAGCCAGAATGTTAAGAGATAGGCATAAAATAGGAATCAGGAAGTGGGGCTTCTGTATCCAGCCTGACAGTCCTATAATTACAGACAAATCCACTCTTTTCTCTGAACTCTAATTTCCTTACCATAAAATGAAATTGCTGGGCTTGGCACAGGATGCAATCTAATCTTTAACTTCTTCTTCTTTTTTTGTTTTGTAAGCTTTCTAACTGTCTGTGATTTCTATGATTAATTAGCCCTGTGGGGTTAGGATTTGCTTGCTTGTGTGTGTGTGTGGTATGTGTGTGTGTGTGTGTGTGTGTGTGTGTGTGTGTTTGTGACTGAGGGTTGGAATCATGTTTCACACATAGTAGGCAAGTGTCCTTCCACTGAGCCAACTCCAGTCCCAGCTTTTTGTCTTTTTGGTACTGGGGATTGAACTCAGGGCCCCTGAACTACTGAGCCACATCTACAGCCCCTTTTATATTTTATTTAGAGACAGGATCTCACTAAGTTGCTTAGGACCTTTCATGGTTGCTGAGGCTGACCTTGAACTTGAGGTCTTCTTATCTCAATCTTAACCTCTGGAGTAGCTGGGATTACAGGTGCTTGCCACCACCCCTGGCACAAATAAACTTTTACACTCTTCCATCCATTGCTTCTCTAGAGTTCACCCTTACATACAATTTATTTCTATTCACTGTTAGAAATACCAGAGTGTCACAAGGAATCAAACATGTGCTCAGAAGTAGTTAAGCAAGGCAAACTTTACTTCTTCTGAAGAGTGGGCTACTGAAGGAAGTCTGRCAAGCAAGCACAGTCCATCTGGTTTTATCCCTGATGCTGCACTGCCTCTTGCTCTGATACACGAGGAGCTGGGGTTTACAATCTACACTATTGGCTAATTTTTAAATTGGGGCGGGCAAAGGGAAGGGTCATAATTAAAATGGCTATTATTGGATACAGGTTGAGAAGACACATTTACATTCCAATTAAGGCTAAATACTATATTCTGATTCTTTTTTTTTTTTTTTTGGAACAAAGATTGGCCCCAGGGGTGCTTAATCACTGAGCCACATCCCTAGCCCTTTGTATTTTTTACTTTGAGATAGGGTCTCCMGAGTTGCTTAGGGTCTTGCTAAGGTTGAGGTTTTGCTAATTGCTGAGGCTGGCCTTGAACTTGCAGTACCCTGCCTTAGCCTCCCAGGCCATGGGATTACAGGTGTGAACCAGCACAACTGGCTAAATACTATATTCTGAAAGTGGACCAATGTACTGTTTCTCACAACTTTTTGTGACCCAGCTCTAAATAATGAAACTAGATGTAGTTGTTATATGTTTTGCTACATGCATCTGTTGCAATACTACATACTTTACTAAGTTTTTCTTGATGAACTCTGAAAAGTGAACCTTGTCCAGCCATCTACTCCAGGGGCAGAGGCAGGAGGATCTCAAATCCAGGCCAGCCTTGGTAACTTAGTGAGACTTGTCTTAAAATAAAATAAAAAAGGATAGTAATATAACTGAGTGATAGTGTACCCAGTATGGGGGGAAAAAAAAACCCTAAACAAAAAACCCTTAATTTTCAGTTAAATTGGGAAAGTTCTTTATTTTCAATCCAGGATAGTAATACATTCCTTATCTTTTTCAAAGAAAGGCTTTGAAGTGTTCACTGTTTCAAATTAGTACCTTGCAGTGTAGGTACATATGTGAGGATATCTTGTAAACTATAATGTCTCATTTATTATTCACTGTTTTGACTTTTGCTTTCCCTTGAGGCAACATTTCCCTCTACCACCATCCAAAGGACTAATACTGGTGTACTCAAGATATAACGAACACTTTCTAGGATGTATTGGAGCACAGAGACTTTAATTTTTTGGGGGGGGGCAGTGCTGGCAATGGAACCCAGGGCTTCATGCTTGCTAGACAACAGTATCATGGAGGTAGGCTACAATCAGAGACTCTATTTTAAGGTAATCAGTTCTAGATCTTCATTTCCCTTGAGTAAGCATTCCAAAACTTGATGTGTCAGATCATGTCCCCTGGGGTCAGGATGTAATGTGGGCTCCTCTCCAACCTCCTCTTAGCCTAATTGCTTTTCTTTAGCAAAGGCATAACTTTTCCTCTTATATAAAATCTTACTAAGGGAAAATACCTCTGCAAAAATCTTAAGGGCTTCAAAAAGGGACAATTGACTGGTGAATGAGAATGGGTAATACCCTTTCATATTTTGGGGTGTGTGTGTTCTGTTACCCACTTGCAAGAAAGTTGAAAGAGAACCTAATCAGAATTGCTAACTGCTAGATGATTAAAAGTGTTTTTTCTTTGTTAGAACTCTGTGATTTATTTATTTTTCATGTGTTAATGGGGATCGAACTCAGTGCCTCACATGTGCTAGGCAAGCATTCTGACCACTGAGCCACAAAACCAGCTGTGCAATTTTTTAAATTTTTGGTGGAAGGAGTTGGAAGAATTGAGTACCATGATTATGAGAACCACTATTCATTCTTTTCTGCTTATTTATGTGAAAAATTTTCTCAGTGCTTGTTATAAAGTTCTTGCTTAGCATCTGGATGGCCATCTTAAGTGACAGCTGCCACTTTAAGGAAAAAGTTTCGCTTTCTGAGAAAAGCCAACTCTGATTTTTGAGTTTCCCCCATAAAAGTCCCAGAACTCAAGTCTGTTTTGCCTCTCTCTCTCATACAGAGATGGCCTTTATTTGTCATCTCTGACAAATAAACTCTTGTATGTATCTCTGCCTGGTCTCTGTCTCTCATTCCTGGCTTTTCCTTCACTTTGTGTCTATGGAATTGAAAACCTGGAAGAGAATGGATGCTGAACTCTTTCTTATTTCACTAATACTTATCCACTATTAAACTAGTTGAAAAAAGTCTACCCAACTCCATGTCCCAAAGATGCATTTCCAGTACATTTTTATTTTTGGGTTGAATATTTAATTACACAAAATTTCAAGATTACTTATTTCATCAGTTGAAATTAGACTTTTTTTGTTTTTTTTTTTTTTTTTTGGTACTGGGGATTGAACTCAGGGGCACTCACTCATGAGCCGCTTCCCAGCCCTATTTTGATTTTATTTAAAGACAGGGTCTCTCTGAGTTGCCTACCACCTCGATTTTGCTGAGGCTGGCTTTGAAGTCAAGATCCTTCCTCTCAGCCTCCCAAGATGTTGGGATTACAGGTGTGGGCCACTGCGCCCGGCTGAAATGGGACTCTTAGACCTTTATGGTCATAGAAAATACACAACCTGTAAATTTCAACTTAGGTACACATTTTTACTACAGGGAAATTGGTAAGCTAATCAATAAGAGTTCAATATAACTGGATCATTAGGATAAAATTCGGGGGCGGGTGTGGAATGTAAATGTGAGTTCCAGAAAACTATAAAAAAAGACTTAAAGTTCTCCAAGTATAAAAAGGATTGTATTTTTTTACATATTTATTTTCATATATTTATTTTTATGTGGTGCTGAGGATCGAACCCAGGGCCTCACACGTAGGAGGCAAGCACTGTACCACTGAGCTCCAACCCCAGCCCAAGGGTTGTATTTTAATAAGTGGATATTGGTGGAAATTAATTCCCTCCGTACATTTTTAAAAATGAGACAGCGGAGCATAGTGGCCCACACTTGTAATTCCAGAGGCTGGGGAGGCTGAGGTAGGAGGATCCCAAGTTCAAAGCCAGCTTCAGCAATTTAGCTCTGGAACTCAGCACTTTAGCCAGGCACGGTCTCAAAATAAAAAATAAAAAGAGCTGGGGATGTGGCTCAATGGTTAAGCGACTCTGGATTCAATCCCTGTTACAGATAGATGCAATTAACAAATTGGGAAAGAATGCAGATGTCACTTTAAACTTTACAAAACTGTTTTAATGGGCTCATAAACTGAAAAACTTCAAGACCTTGAACCAAGGATGTTGGCTTCCAGTTTGTGATCTCTCCATCCCTTGGGATACACATTAGATTAAAACCTGTGGCACTCTGTTGCACACGTGGACTTAATATTTTGCATCGTAATTCTTATTTTGTTCATTTTAATTGCCTTTCCTCGTAGAATGTAAGCTTTCAGAAGGCCAGGCACTTGTTCGATTGCTGGCTCTGCGCCTGCATCTAGGSGACACTCCCCAAACACCCCCTGAATGAATGACTTAATCGTGAGAACTCGGAGGGCGGTTAAAATCCCCAGCCAGCTTTCGGCCGCGAGGGCTGGAAGGGCGTGGGAAGGCCGCGAGGAAACTCTTGAGCACTCTGTGGGGCCCGGCGGGGGTTCGGGAGCAGAACTCGCCGCAGGGGAGGTGCCCTCTAGTGCCGCCGCGCAGGCGCGCAGCCTTCTCCGCGTGAGTGCGCGCAGTCGCGCGCCTGTCCCCGCGCGGGCTCCGTAGCGCGTGTGCAGGCTGACGCAGCTCGCGGGCCCTCCTCCTGCTCTGCAGCGGCGGCCGCGGAGTTTTGGGCGTTTGGGAGGGGGCGAGGGAGCGAGAGTCGAGAGAGGGAGGCGGTGGCGGCGGGGAGGAGGAGGAGGAGGAGCTGGCGCCGCCATGGCCGCCGCTATCACCGACATGGCCGACCTGGAGGAGCTCTCCCGCCTGAGCCCTCTGCCCCCCGGCAGCCCTGGCCCAGCGGCGCGGGGCCGGACTGAGCCCCCCGAGGAGGAGGAGGAAGAGGAGGAGGAGGAAGAGGAGGCGGAGGCCGAGGCTGTGGCGGCGCTGCTGCTAAACGGCGGCAGCGGTGGGGGCGGCGGAGGAGGCGGCGGAGTGGGGGGCGGCGAGGCGGAGACGATGTCGGAGCCGAGCCCTGAGAGCGCCAGCCAGGCCGGGGAGGACGAGGACGAGGAGGAAGACGAGGAGGAGGAAGAGGACGAGAGCAGCAGCAGCGGCGGGGGTGAGGAGGAGAGTAGCGCCGAGAGCCTGGTGGGCAGCAGCGGCGCGAGTAGCAGCGACGAGACGCGCTCGCTGAGCCCCGGCGCCGCCAGCAGCAGCAGCGGGGATGGGGACGGCAAGGAGGGCCTGGAGGAGCCCAAGGGACCGCGGGGCAGCCAGGGCGGCGGCGGGGGCGGCAGCAGTAGTAGTAGCGTCGTCTCTAGCGGCGGCGACGAAGGCTACGGGACCGGGGGAGGCGGAAGCAGCGCGACCTCCGGGGGCCGGCGAGGCAGCCTGGAGATGTCGTCGGACGGGGAACCTCTGAGCCGCATGGACTCGGAAGACAGGTCAGTGCACCGAAGCGTTTCCCCATTCCCTTCCTCTTCTCGAACTCCCGGACCCCTCACAGGGACCAAGGGGACTTTTTGCCGTGATCTCCCCAGCTCCCCGAATTCTCGGCCCCTCCCCCAGGCTCTCAACTCGGAAATCCCTGGCCGCCGCCGCGCCCCTCTCGGATAGCGGCTTCCAACTCTCAAACCATTCCCCCCCAACTCTCCTTTCCCCGCCCTCTTTCCCCTCGGCTCCGCACTCCTTTCGGACCTAAGGACTGCTCTAACTTCGGAGACAATCCCCAAACAGGCCCAGACCCTCTGGCGGAGCAGGAGAGGGCCTTGATGTACACCTCGGTACACAAGGTTAGCTTCATCCAACCGTGTTCGTGAACACTTGTCAGAACTATAATTGACAAGTGTTTTCCAATATGGCTGGTCTCGCTTGGATTTAACAGAACTTCCTTGTCCAGGGAGGAGACCCCAACTATCACTTTTTTCTACTTAAAAAAAAAAAAAAGACAATTGTTTTATATTTAATCATTACCACCAAAATTCCATATTTGTACTCAGTAATGCGGTCTCCAACGAGATTTTAATCTGTCCTATTTGTTTTCTGATCAAATCTGGGAGAAAGTTGAAAACACAAAAATCATTGTGGAAAAGAATAGTGAATTAATAGCCTTTTAAAATAACTTCGCTCAATCAAAGAGAGTTGAAGTGGTAACAAAATGTATTCATGAAGGTAAAACAGTATGTAGCTTAAAATCTTTATTACATGGTAGTATTTCACCATGAGAGTCATGGTTTAATTGATAATATTTAAAGTCGTGTGTTGATGAGGTCTCCAATTAGTATTTTTCTAAAGCTCGTTAGAAGTAACTGGAAATTGACAAAAAAGCATCCCCCATTTTCCTCCCCCAGGATATTTAAGAAATTGTTCTAATAGTATGTGCTTCCGTTATTATCTCTTTGGAATACTTAATATTTTAAGTAGTGGGTTTTTAATGTATTTTAAAAAGAAGAATGAAATCATGCATATTCTGCTTCTAAAGTATGTTAGCATTTATTTTGACTATCTGCTAATGTTTTAATGAGCAATAGAATTTTAAAAAGTTGATAGTGATTTTAATTTAAAAGTTTAATTTTGAAGTTTTAGGAATTCTGATTGTTAACTGATAAAAATGAACTCCGTATAGTTAATGCTCCAAGGACTTCAAGTATTGGAATATTTTGAAAATCTAATATTAAATTATTTTTGAYATTTACTTTAGTACTTAGTTAACAAGATACCTTTATATAGAATAAAATAAGTGGTTTAAACCTTAAGAAAGGGTTTGAACTGTATAGGCACAGAGATAGACAGGAAGGAGAACATCAGAAAATTAAAAATTGCTGTGAATTCCAGAATGAAGCATGTGYTATTTATCATTTTACTATTTATATTTTTCATTGATAGCACTACACATTTGAAAGTTGACTTTATGCTATCAGCATCCAATGGTAGTTTTCCTGTTTACCTAGAATAGATAATGTGACAGATGTTTGCCTTGCACTGCAGTTTAAATGTCTCCACCTCTTCTTCAAAACTATAGTGCAAGATAGGTAATATTTTGACTTCCATTTAACAGATGAAGAAGCAGTTTGTGTGTATGGCATGGAAATGATAGAGCTGAATCTGAACAAAGGTTCTCAAGTTCAGTGTCTCCACTTCAGGAGAGTTATAATAAATCACCTTAAATAACAAGTGGTATGTTTCAGTTTTGTTTTAATTAACATCTACCTATTATGTCACTTCAGGAGACAATGAATTATATATATTGGTCAAGTGAAATTTTGGTTTCACTTGATATTTAGTAGATATTTATTTGAATATCTGATTTTATACCTTATCTCAGAGTAAGGAGTAAAATTGGTGTTCCAAGTCTAAAAAAGGATTAAAACTTGATAACCAAACATAATTTACTTTAATGCTTAAATACTAGAGACTGCAAAATATTATAGTTTTATTACTTCATGCTGGTAGATTTTCACTTGTATGAGAAAAACCTATCTAGTGAAACTGGACTGTGTGGTCTTTATATTCTGAAATAACCTTGTTAATTTTAAAAGTTTTTTTGTTTTCAGAGTTATTTAAATTTGGGAAGGATTCGTAATTCTTACAAACTATACTTCAGATCACACAACTCTATGTGGATATCATAGGTTGATTTCATGGTAATCTTTTGTAATTGGTGGAAGAATATAGTAGTATTAAAGTACTTTTAAAATATTGGAGCACTCCTGTGACAGCAATTCTATTTTCATTAGAACTTTGTTTATATTGGAATATCTATTCTGTTTTTCTGTTGTTTTGAAATTATATTATACTTTTTTATCTGATGTGCTTTAGGCTGTTGAAATTTGTTAAATATTTTTGTTGGTGCTTTTAATTTTTATTATTTATTGGTACTGGGAATTGAACAGAGGGGTCACTTTACTAGTGAGCTACACCCTCCAGCCCTTTTTACTTTTTAATTTTGAGGCAGAGTATTGCTAAGTTGCTGATGGTCTGACTTATTTGCTAAGGTTGGCTTTGAACTTGCAATCTTCCTTCCTCCTTCAGCCTACCAAGTGACAGACTACAGGTGTGCTGGTTTATTTAAGAGAATTAAAATCAAGACTAGAGTTTGTGACCTGAGATGTCATTTACAAACATGTATYGAAAGTATTGAGTAATGAAAAGTGACTAATTTATAAAATGATTAAATGACACTTGATATAAAAAATATTGACTATTTTTCCTAGAGGAAAGTTATTTAAAGCCAGTGATAAATTTACAAACGTGTTTATTTTGGATTGAAAATCTAAAGTTGATATATAATATTACTTATGTAATGCAGATAATAGAATTTTCTTCAGGGGGTATATTTAGCTGTGTGACCCCACTAAAACTTAGCTTTTCTTTTACTTTGAATCTAAACTTTAGGTACTTTTAAAAAAGTTAACTAAGATAACTTATGATACTAAGTTAACTTTGAAAAAATTATTTTTAATACATCATTTCCTTTTTCTAATATCTGTTATATAAAAACATTTAGGGTAGGGGCTGGGGATGTGGCTCCAGCGGTAGCACGCTTGCCTGGCATGCGCGAGGCGCTGGGTTCGATCCTCAGCACCACATAAAAATAAAATAAAGATGTTGTGTCCACTGAAAACTAAAAAATAAATATTAAAAATTCTCTCTCTCTCTCTCTCTCTCAAAAAAAAAAAAACATTTAGGGGAAAAAATCAATTTAGGAAACATTTGTTGAGTGAATCATCCAAATAGTAATTAAATGCCACACTTGTACTGAATATGTATTGATACTAAAAAGATAATGTCAAAGCAGGGCATGGTGGTGTATGCCTGTAATCTCAGCTGCTAGGGAGGCTGAGGCAGAAAGATTGCAAGTTTGAGGTCAGCCTGGGCAACTTAGACCTTGTCTGAAAAAATAACAAGGTCTGTAGATATGTAGCTCAGTGGTAGAGAGCTCCTGGGTTCAATCCCCAGTACTTGGGGGTTAGGTGGGGGAAGATGAGAAAACAGGAGACATGGTCTCAGTTTCAAGTAGTAAATTAACTTTTTAAAATAGAATTTTAAACATAAAATACCTGTGAACTTATTATAGTACTTGCTGTTGAATTAGATTTATGAAAGTACTGCTCTTAGCTTCTTATCTATATGGTTAATTTGACAACAGCCTATCTTTTGTGGTGGTGGTTGTTTTTTCTTCCTCCAGTATAAGCCATGACTTACTTTGAAAAAGCTAAATTGGCCTGGCCTGGTGGTACATGACTGTAATCCTGGTGACTCAGAAGGCTGAGCAGGAGGATCATAAGTTCTAGGCCTGCTTGGGCAGCTTAGTGACACCTGTCTCAAACAAATAAAAAGGGCTGGGGATGTAGTTAGAGGCATAGCACCCCTGCGTTTAATCACTAATACTACAAAACAAAACAAAAAAAAACTTAAGATAACTTTCAATTATCAGTCTTTCTGAGTAATCCAGATGTAAAGTGGAAGATGCATACATAAGCATTGGGAATTAATAAGAACGGGTATATTTAGTATAGAWTTAACGGTCAGCAAAGAACATAGGCCTTTATCATTTTATGGGTAAGAGTTTGGAACTCCTAGCCCTACAGGTTGCAAATTTTGAGATATAGCTTGCTTGGACATTAGGAAAATTTGTTTATATAGTCCAGTATCCCAGTAAGATGATTAGGAAGACTAAACATCTGAACTGGAACATTGCATGTTGAGGTTGTCAAGATTTACTGAGGAGGACTGAGGGTATAGTTCAGGTGGTAGAGTGCTTACCTTGCATGCATAAGGCCCCAGGTTCAATCCCCAGCACCACCACCCTCCCCTCTGCCAAAAAAAAAAAAAAAAAAAAAAAAAAAAAGATTTACTAAGGATCTGTATAATTGAGTCAATAAAATACTTTGCGTAAAGTAATATATTGTTCCTACTTGATGCTACAACTCCCTTTCACTAGCTACCCCTTGCCCCTTTCTTTTTGGTATTGGGGATTGAACTCATGCGCTCAACCACTGAGCCAAATCCCCAGCCCTGTTTATTTTTTTGAAATTTTACTTAGAGACAGGGTCTCACCTTAGTTGCTCAGTGTCTTGCCATTGCTGAGGCTGGCTTTGAACTCTTGATCTTTCTGCCTCAGCTTCTGGAGTCCCTGGGATTATAGGCGTGTGCTACTGCCTGACTAGCTACCCATTTTAATTAAATTGCAGCTGTTAGCAGTCTGTCCAGATCCCCCCCACCTCACCCCAGTACTGGGGATTGAACTCAGGGTCTAGCACATGCCAGACAAGTACTCTACCACTGTGGTATATATCCAGCACCCGTGTMCCCTGTCCCTTAAAAAATTATTATGATTTATTTGGTACTAGGGATGGAAACCAGGGGTGCTTAACCACTGAGCCACATCCCCAACCCTTTTTATTTATTTATTTTTATTTTTTATTTTTTTTTTAGAGAGAGA